CCCGGAACTGGAGTTACAGACAGTTGTTAGCTGTCATGTGGGTGCTGGGAACAGAACCTGGGTCCTCTGCAAAAGCAGCCAGAGCTCTTTACCCCTTGACATCTCTCCAGCCCCCTTTTCACCTTGTTATTTGAGACAGAGTCTCTCACTGAATCTGGAGCTTGTTGACTGAGCTACACTGGCTCACCAGCAAGCCCTAGAGACCCTGTGTGTGTGCCTCTCAGAGTTGGGATTACGGAGGTGTCACTGGGCTGCCTGGTTTTTTGTTTGTCTTTATTGCATGAAAAGCACTTTACCAGCTGACCCTTCTCTTCAGCCATGCATGCCTCTCCTCAAGCTCTGTCCCATACTCTATCCTTGATAACTCCTGAGAACTTTTTTTTTTTTAAGACAGGGTCTTCCTGTAGCCCCAGCTTGCTTGAAACTCACAATGTAGATCAAACTGACCTGGATCTCATGGAGATCTGCCAGCCTCTGTCTCCCAAGTGCTGGGATTAAAGGTGCGCCACATCATGCCTGGCTGAGACTCACTTGCTCTCTAGCTGGCCTTCCCATCTATGATCATTGCATTCTAGCTTGTGTTTCTTATGTCCATAGCTATCCAGGATCCATAGTTTTGGCATCAACTTTTCTGGGTATGCTGAATATCCTGTCTCGAATTAGCCTGGACATCTCTTCCCCTGGATTGCCACCTGCACCCAGGCTATGCATGTCTCAAAGGGGCTCTAAAGAGGGAGGGAAGAAGGGTCCACTGCTGAATGAAGAATCAGTAGGCCTGGATGCCCTGGCTGGCCTGGCTTCTGTAGTTCTTCCTGTGTAAGGGCAGAGCTGGTGGGGAAATGGAAAGGTCGCCCAAGTGCAAAACTCGAGTACTACCAACCTTAAAGAGCTAAGCGGAGCCCTCCTTTGGGGTCTTACCCCATCCCAAAGCTGCTTCTATAGCCCTCTTACCTTTAAGGCCCCGCAGATCTCTACTGTGTCCACCTCTTGCACCACAGTGATGCGGAAATTGGGTGTCTGCATCAGTTCTTTCAGAAGCTGTCCCTGGGTCAGGTCCTTGCAGCCTAAATTGTGGAGGGGTAAAGCTTTGAAGGACTTTATTTTTAAAATGGGCTCTTGCTGTGTTTCTGAGGCTGACCTGGAACTCCTGGACTCAAGCAATCCTCCTGCTTCAGCCTCCCGAGTAGCTGGGACTACAGGTGCACACCACTGCACCCAGCCAGTAGGGGACTCGACTATCTCTCATATACCTGCCAAAACAAGACTCAGCCTCTTCTCTGGGATAGCCCAACCCTCCCTCACCTCTGACACTTTCTCTGCCCTATAGAAGAAGATAGCTAAGTGGGACTCGGGGAGAGAGTTTGGGAAGGGGAAACGACTAGAGCTGTGTGGTATATGCAGGGGCTCTCACCAATGGTGGTTTCACAGAACTTCTCATCAGCCACCTCGCTGGCAATGTTGGCCCCCATCAGCACGCTCATGAAGATGCCAAGACGCTCCCCAATCACTTCAGAGATGAGCTTCAGACCATTGGGGCCTTCGTCTACTCCCTGGGCACAGGACGGAGCTCAGGCCAGCTGAGGGCTTCCCACCCAGAGGTTGCCCCTTCCAAATCCACTGCTTACTGGTGTCCCTCCCCAGGATCCTGCCCCAATCCTACCCAGCCCAGATGTGGTGTGAAGTGGGTACAGGAGTGACAAACCAGTCTGTCATCAAACTCCCTTCTCTTATACTTCCAGCCAACGTGCCTCTTCAAAGTAGTATACTGCTCACATTCCCGACACCTCAGCCAACAGCCCGGGGACTGTTCCAGACCAACTGCCTCATCTCCCAAGTCGGCTTACTTCATATCTCCCTCAGCTTTTCATGTCTCCTAAATGCCTCTAAGACATCGGCCTCCAAAGCAGTCTCATCTCCTTCCTCCAGCAACTCAGCTGACCCTTCCTTCCTTCCTTCCTTCCTTCCTTCCTTCCTTCCTTCCTTAGTTTCTTAGTTTTTTATTTCTTTTCTTTTTTTGTTTGTTTTTTAAAGATAAGGTCTTTCTATAGGGTCCTGGCTCCTCCCTCCCTCCCTTCCTTCCTTCCTTCCTTCCTTCCTTCCTTCCTTCTGCTTTTCCTTTCCTTTTTTCCTTTTGGTGGTTCTAGGGATTGAACCCTGGGCCTCATGCAAGCTAGGCAGATTCACCACTAAGCCACATTCCTAGCCCCAACTGCTGTTTTCATTCTCTCCAAGGCCAATTCCTTTCTTCTTTCTGGAATACCTGGTCTGTTTCTGCTATTTTCTGTTCTACATGCTTCACCTACCCTGACCCCGCAATAGCTGTACCCCACCTCCACCAACATGAAGGTGTCCCTAGCACCTTAATGAGGGATATGCCGATGGTGTTGGCCTTCAAGTGTCCCTTGAGCTGGTCACAGATCTTGCCAATGAACTGATGGGGCACCACAAAGATCAGGATGTCAGCATCGGCTGCAGCCTGGACCACATCTGGGACAGCCACCTGCGGAGTGACCAGATGCTCATGTGCTTGGCAGCCCTCTCCTGGTCCCCAGGGAACTCCATTCAGGACATTTACAAGCCAAAGTGATGTTAGGGGAGGGAGGGTGTTTGGGACTGAATCTGAGAGGACTGGACTTGTAGGATCAGAACTTCCTATATTCCCTGCTCCAAGCCACCATGCCCCCCTTTACACTAGCTCTCCTGGTCCTGGAGGTCTGCTGGAACCTCTTGCCATACCCTCCTAGCCCTTGGCTATGGGACAGAGCAGAAGGCCAAAGGCAGCCTAGCCTTGGCAGAGAAAGAGGCCAAGTAAGATTTCATCACCCTGCTCCTGAGGGGCCCCAACTTGGCAAGGAGAGCCCCAGTTTTCCTGCTTCTGTTCCCTGCTCCCTCTTCTAGGTGGGGAGCAAGCCACATGGATTTGACCAAAGACCCGAAGTCCAACGATCAACTTTCAGATCTGCTAATAACCAGTGAATGAATAACAGGATTGGTGCTCAGGGCAGGCAGGAGGGACTAGACCCCATGTCTGGGAGCCTGAGAATCAGGCTTTGGCTGCCACAGAGACAAGCTTCACCTTTTCCCTCCCTTCCAACCTAAGGGCCTGTAAGGGGTAGTGCATTCAAGTTCCCCAGTTCCAGAAAGTGCTCAAAGGGACACTCCAGGCCTAGAGTAGCTCTCTTGAGACACTTCCTAAGTCCAGCTGGCATCTGAAGTAGCCTCTCCCCATAAGAGGCAACTTAAAGTAAGATCTGAGTGCTGGTTCTCCTGTATGTTCTTGTGTCCCTCTCTCCCTTCCTAACAGGGAGTTGGGGCTTACCACATTGGGGGGCAGCTTATGCCCAGGCAGGTATTTAACATTCTCATGCTGCGTGTTGATAATCTCCGTCAGCTTTCTTCCCCCAATGTCTTCTTCAAACACCCACATGGTCACTCGTGGGTCAAAGTGTGCTAGCTGGGCTGCATTACCACCCACGATCTTGGCAATGGCTGAGCCCCTGGAGGGAGGGGAAGCACAGGAAAGTGGAGTAGTGTGAGGGAGGGAACAACCTCAGGGGCTGGGGCACTGCCCCACTGCAGGACCTCAAAAAGCTTGTCAGATTCTTTACTTCCCACCTTTCTCGCCACCTCCTCTAACATGACAAGTGTACCACAATAGAGAACAGATTCAGTCTGTCTCAGTGCTGTTGGAGGAAAGGGCCAGTTTTCTGATCCTGCCCCCAAGCCCAAGCAGCTTTTCAGGCTCAAAGGGATGCTGGCCTTTCTATGGAGAACAGGTGCAGCTGTCCAGGCAGGCTCAGCTAGGGAGGTCTGGGTACAGTCTGTCCTGTAGGCACTGGAGATAGCAGCAGGGTCCAGTAGGACCCTGATGGCTGTTCAAACCCTCCTGTCATCTCCTGCCCACTCAGCCTCCCTCCAAGAAGCCTCTCTGTGATTGGGTGAAGTCACCCTTCCCCCATGGCCCTTGACAGAGCTGCTTACCAGTTGCCGGAGCCGACAATGCAGACTTTCTTGCCAGCCATGGTGCCGCTCTGGCTTCTCTGTCCCAGCGCCGGTGCAGACTGAGTATTTAACTCCACCACACGTGGGTGCAGCCAAGCTCCACCTCCAGGGTGGCCCTGAGGCTGGCGCCCAGGGACAGGGAGTCTGGCAGGGCCAGGGAAAGGGGAGAAAAGGATAGAGACAGGTGGAGAACCAGGCCAGCTTTTCCTCGGGTTTGCAACTGACTGTGCTGGGAAAGTTCTTCCTTTGGCCTCAGTCTAGTTTCTTACCCCCTCCTTGCAATGGGCTCATTTCGAGGTTGTCCAAGGAACAGCCCAGATGAGGAACAAGTGATTGGTCCCAAGTACTGAAGTAAATTGTAGCTAGCACTAGCGGCAATAAATTTTCAGATAGGGATCTTCATCTCTCACCTTAGAACACTCCTTTCCTGAGCCCCTCAGCTCCTGTAATTTTGTCCCCCAGCATCCATCCTCACAGTAGCTCCACCTCAGACTGTAGGTGAGAGGGTTGGAGGATGTGGGCCCACTTCTAGGGATAAGGCTACATACAAGGTAAGGATTTGCTTTAGGGCAGCCCAGACTAAGAATAAGAGACCTCAGGATCCCTGAAGAACAAGGTCATCTTGGTGACCCACAGTAGTCATGTCAAGGACTTGACATTGGGCCTCTTAACCTCAGATAATCCCCACTTGAAGTTCTTCCATGAAGGGAAAGGGAGGAAGGTCAAAGGTAGAGGGCTCTAATGCCAAGTGGCCCACAGTTGTTTCAGGCTACTGGAAGGACAGATGAAGTGGTGGCCAGCACATGCACTTTGCTGGAGAAGCCTGAAGCTTCTTTCGACTTCTCTGCGGTTCTGCTTACCCTACTGGGGCTAGTTCAGAGTGGAAGAGAAGCCAGACCTGGGCAGCAGTTTCTAAAACTTAAGAGCTTCGTAGTCTCTGGTGTCATAACTGAGAGGAAGTGGGTATGTGACTGGCGGAAGGGGAGAATGGCAGGCACACATCCAGCAGTTAGGGCTCCATGGTGCCTACAGCCATCTGTTTGACTAAGAGGAGGAACTTCCGTTTCCAAGAAACCGTGGAAAGCTCCTCACTCTCCATTGCCTGCACCTTGGCCTACAGGGCAGACACCACTGTGTGCTCACATGCCGACCTCCCGGCTTGGCATATGCTAGGTGGGTGTTGCCATCCCCCAGACTCCCACTGGCCAGCAACTCCAACTGGGCTGGAGGAGAGTCTCAGTGCAACCACTGCTAATATTAAGTGGGTAGGAGGTCAAGAACAAGGGAAAGTTTTTCTTAGTTTGAGGATTACACAGAAAAGGCCCACCATATTCTCCCATGGCCAGGAGGTCCCTATAATGGGAGCATCAAATCAATGGTTGTTTTTCTTTTGACAAAGTTATGCCTGATACAGGGCTAGTCTCCCACAGACCACCTTTGTTACACTGGCACAGAGATGAAGGCACCAGTGCCAGGCTGCCAGCTGGGAACACTGGTTATGAAGCATGGAAGAGAAAGGATGTTCCTGTCCCTGGCACCCTTAAGAATAGGCATTTATGCATGAAATGGATTCCTTGTTTTTGCCTAAATGCTCCCATCTCTCTTTGCCCCCACAATTCTTCTAGGTAGAGACAAAACACACGTGTCCATTTGCAGAGGAATAAAGAGGATGCTCATGACAGGGAGTTGTCTGTAGCACCAAAGCTTTCTCCAAGAGGAAGCTGTAGACTACTTGCTCAAAATTAATGATTCGTCAGCCACTCATTACAGATGCAATTAGCCTGGGTAAAAACACATGCCATTTCCATGTCCTTGACATAAATTTTCCCCACTCAGTTACCATACCTCCAGCACCCCTTCTTTCTCAGGAAAGAGAAACCAGCATGTTGGGAGTAGACTGACAGTTTTCCCGTCTACTCAAAGGGCAGAGCTGTAACTGACTTTGGAGAGCGGCAGCACTCTATTTTCTAGTCCTCCTCTTGGACAAGAGCACGAAGCAAGCTGTGAGCCACCAGGTGGAAGCAGTTGGAACTGCAGAAACCTTATGCTTTTACCAAGGGGAATAATCACTTCAATGGCCTCCCAGGCAGCCCTCTACTCACAGAACAATGCAATTGTTCAACACAGGGCTTAAGAATGAGCATTTTAACACTCAGCATGGTAGTGGCACACACCTGTAATCTCCACTGGGGAGGCTGAGGCCAGATTTTGAGCTTAAGGCCAGAGATCCCATTGCAAGACTACAACACACAGAAAATCCTGTTATCTTTCTTAGAGCCTTAAGGGGAACTTCAAAAAGCATGAAATCAGTAATTGGCTCCTTTGCAGAGGAAACACAAATGCCTGCTGTCACTCCAGCCTTGACAACAGCTGGATGGGTATGTACTTTGGGGAGAGAGAGAAACCCAGTTTCACCAACCTAAAGGGGCCATGGGTGCCAAGGACAGCTTGTTCCATCCAGCCAAGTGACCTGGAGAGTTCAAGGACAGGAAGTTGGCAGTGCTACTACCCTGTCTGTTCTTGGTGGACAAGGGGTGGAGTGGGCAATCATCTCAAGAACATAGCTTGATTGGACACTGGGTCACCAGCCTCTAAAGTGAGACCTGGAGTCCACAGGGGAAGAACTCCTTTCTGTAGGACCCCAGTGCCTAGTACATAGCAAGTGCTCAACAGACAGCAAATAAGATGGCACTGTGAGCAGGGCTGGCGCACCAGAAGACTCCCACAAGAGGCAGGGCACTCACTTTTCAGAAGACTCTTTTATTAAAACCGGGTGACATCAGTAAGGGGACAGTACAAAAAAAAATTTGGTCCATTGGGGAAAACACAGTAATTCAGTTAATAAAAAGTTATCAACAGGGACACTGTAGGAGTGCTGAGCTTCCTTATCATGCTTCCAGCCAGGAGCTGGGCTGGGCCTCAGCTGCCCAGGGTCATCCAGTGTCACTGTGGGGAGAACCTTCCAAGGGAGGGATGGATATAGGACAAGGGGAAGATGGGGAGAAAATGGCTGTCCCCAGTACCGAACAAGGGGCAGGGACACTGCTCGCAGGAGCCTGAGGTGGGGTGGGGAAGCAGGGACTTTGTCAGTTCTGTGGGTTCAGAGCCCGTGTTCAACAGAATCCCTTTCTGTGCCCAGCTATCTCCCACCCTGCAGTGTTGTCTGCGAGCCTGGGATATGCTAACTTGCGGTAATACGACCTGGAAGAATCCAAGGCTCTCCTGGAAAAATGCAAAAACATCTCAGTTCCAAGGGGCCAAGATCACAAGGTCCTGCTGCTACCTGAGGGGTCTGAAGCTTTGAGGGCAGGGGTTGGGAGTCACAATTTGGGGAGGCAGGAGAGTCACAAACCCATTTCAGACCTATTCTCCAGCCCTAGGCGCTTTCACTCCTCAGTACCCGAGAAGTCACCAGTGGGTGTCAACCAGGCAAACAAGGGACGGGAAGACAGGGATGGCCTAGGGCTTTACCCGTTTCAGGCTTGTTTCTCCATTTAAGAGAGGGGGCAGAGTGGAGCGAATGAACAAGCCATTCATCTAACCAACAACAGGAATGTACAGCCTCTGCTGGCAATGACAGTGCCCAGCTTAGTTCCCTGGGGCTCTGACAGGGAAAGGCAAGATCCCCTACCCAAATGCCATGGGTTAAGGGCAGATGTGAGGAAATCCTACAACAGGCAGCTATGGGAGTGTGCAGAAGGGAGCAACAGTTCTAGAACAAACTCCAATACTGATATGGAACCCCATGAAGGGATCGGAGAAGCACTGAAACAGCAGGTCAATCCAGAGGGTGGAGACTGACCTGGGGCTCAATGGAACCCAAGAACCTGGGCTCCTTTAGTGCTACAGGGCAACAAGTGAAAGGAGTTGCACTAGCAGGAGGGCCAAGGTCAACTAGCTTATAGAATGCCTCCAGGCCTGAGTCTCAGATAGCTCCCAACTCCTGGGTCTCTGAAGGACAGGATCAGTGTAGCTGGTCTCCCCGAAGACCACTTGGTCTCAGGAGCACCCAGTCCTTTCAGAGCACTGATTACCACTACGGGTTCTCTAATACTATCTAGAGGTCCTATAAAGACCTAGGGTGGGACAGGGTAGGGAGGTAGAGGCACACGGGAACTCTGTGGGTCAAAGAGAAGTTGGGGGTAGGAGGTTGGGGTGAAGGAAGAGGATAATAGGTGCCTTGTGAAACATAAACTTGAGACCCTCTTCATTCTGGTACTGTCCTTGAACCAACAGTATCTCCTGGAATGCCTCAAGCAGAACCAAGGCAGGTTCTATGAGGCAGGCAGGCAGCATGGGGCCCAAATAAAGGATTGGTGCAGTCAAGTCAGGGCTGTAGGAGAAGCCCTATGTATTCCGGATTCCCAGGGCTTGCTCTAATTCTTGCCGCCTCTGCTGCACCTAAACAGAAAACAAGAGCTGAGATGAAACAGATCAGAGGCTGGAACCTACTATCCCCAAACCTCATCAAGGGTACAGACCCCCACTTTGTTACAGACCCCTGCTTTCTGTCATTTCCCCAAGCATAGCACCCACCTTGGAGTAGAAGTATCGGCACACAGCCTCCTGAGCCCAAGGCTGGAAGTAGAACTCGGCGCGGCGTTCCTCCTCTGGGTTACCCACCACATCAGTCATGGTCTGAAAGAGAAGGGGGAGGGGAGAGAACAGACATGTTTCCTGCCTTCATATCTGTTCTCAGTTGAATTGTATCCCCCTACCCACCCACTTTCAAAGATGCTGAAATCCTAATTCCCCAGTACCTGTGAATGTGACCTTATTTGGAAATAGTCTCTGCAGATGGTCAAGTTAAGATGAGCTCATTGGGATGGGCCCTAATCCAGTATGACTGGCATCCTTACAAAGGGGGAAAATTTGGACAGACACAGACACATAGAGGCAACATGATGTGAAGACACATGGAGAATGCCAAACCTAAGCTGAGGGACACCTAAGGTTACCAGAAGCTAACAGAAAGCATGGGATGAATCCTGTTGACGCTTTGGTTCTGGACTTCCAATCTCCACCACAAGGCACTCCGTTTGGGTCAGGCTGCTACAGCAGCCCCAGCAAACTAAGACAACACCCCAAACCACTCCTGGCACCCATCAAGTCACTGCCAAGTCCAGGCTTTTTCTGGCACTCCTTTCCACTGATCCTCTGCTCAGAACTCTGCAGTTGCCACAGCAACTACAGGCTATGCAAGAACTGACGGTATGTTGCCTGGGCCTACTTTTCTGTCTGAGCTTATGATGCTCTTTTCTCTGAGCCATATCTCCAAATCCTAAATTTTCCATGATGCCTTCCACAGTGATTCTAGCCTCATCTGTCTCCCTTTTCTTCTGAAAGATCTTACTGGTTCCAGTCAGTGTGGCTAATATCTCTTCTGGTTTGCTGCTTTAATCACACTAGCGTAATTTTTCCATGTGGAACACATCTGTTTTGAGAGCAAAGGTCAGGTCTTCCTCTCTGTCCCCAGTAGTGTGGAACCCAAGGACAACACTGAGGGTGTACTACCTCTATGCCTGATAACTCTGCCGCTATATCCTCCTTAACTGTCAAATGGACCCTGGGCAATAGGAAGGGAAACCGTGATCCCTCCCTTCTCCCTTCGACTCTTCTACCAGCTGTACAGAGATAAAGCAGTATGCGCTGTACTCCCTAAGTCCCTCTGGGCCTTTCCCAGGCTCTTTACCTTGAGGTCCCGGCACTGGGACTGAAGCCAGTCATTGATGAAACCCTGAGGGTCTCTCGCAAAGCTCAGCATGAACTCCCTCTGAGTCTTCAGCTGGTTGATAGTTTCTATAGTCTCATGAATCTGAAAGGAAGAATCCTCCATTTTCAAGCTAAAGAGGAGACTCAGCCTGACATCACCACATGTCATTCCCAACCCAGGTGCATTCTTTCAGTCGGTGATGTGCTCTTTTTCTTTTTCTCTTGTATGAGGACAGTTGTCCTTTTAGCATTCTCAATATGCATCACTACACTAGTGAGTACTTATCTATGAGGTCATGAGTCCCCATTCTGCAGTTCAGAATCCCTTTTCCAAATACCAACAAATCCAAATGCTTTTTTGGCATGTCAAAAGACACCTTAAACTGAAGGTCTCCAAAAATAAACTCATTACCTTCCCTAATCTCTCTTCCTCCTCCTCTCCACCCAAGCCAGGCCTCTTGTCTCTCAAACAGGGAACACATCCCTTAATTCCACTTTGACCCTAAAACCCTATTTCTACCATCCTCATGCCCCGCCCCCCCTCCACAAACTGCTTTAAGTTTAGTACTGTGACATATCTCACACAGACTATTAGGCTAGCCTCCAAACTGGGCTTCCTTCAGATCTGACCCTCTCATAATTCTCTCCACCTACTCACTAGTAATCTGATTACTCTAGAAGCAAACAGCATTAGAACCTCCGCAGTGAAGGTCTCTACCATGTTTTCAAGATCAGAACTTCATGCTCCGGCTCCTATTTCCCTACCAGCTTCCTTTCCCTTAACAGCTCATCCCTGGCACCTCAAGTAGTGTTCAGCACACCAAACAGCTTGCACTCAATGTTTTCTGTTTGTTTGGGGCTGGAACTCACTGCATACACCAGACTGGCCCTGAATTTGTGTTAACCCTCCTGCTTCTGCCTCCTGAGTGCTGGGATTACAGGTACACACTACCACACCGGCTTTGCTTCTATTTTTCGAACACACCATGCTCACTCTCCTCTTTAGTCTTCTATATACCTTACTCCATTTTTCTGGAATGTCCTCTGCCTTCAATACCCTCAGCATCACTATGCTTTCTCCCCATCTGTTAATTTGTCCTTCAAATTTTAGTTGAGTTATCTACTGTCCCAGGAAAGCCCCTATGTTCTCTTTGGTGTTTGTAAAGCACTTTTGGCTTTGCCTGTATGGACTGTGCCGTATGTTATAATGATGATGGCAATACAAACAGAAGCAGGAGTTACCATTGCTGCCTTCTATGTGCTAGGCACTGGCTCCCATCTTTAAACACATGGTCTCATTTCATTCACAAAGCAACCTTATAAAAATAGGTATTATGGTCTTCATGTCACAAATCAGAAATTGAGGCTCAATGGTACTAAAAGGTACAGCCAACAGTGGGCATAGTGGCTGACACCTGTAATTCCAGCACTGAGAAGGTTGAGTTAGAACTATCATGAGTTTGAAACCAGACTAGCCCAGGCTACAACAGGGAGACTGGCTCAAAATGCGAAGAAAAAAAAAAAAAGATAGGCAGAATCAAAACACCTGTGAGCCTGGCTCCACTTCTCACTGAGCATATGAGCATACTGCCTGACATATACTTGCTCTGGGTATCAATATATGTATTGTTAGTTTGAAAAAAAGAACCAAAAAGCAGCATAGAAGCTGATTGACGGCTTAGGTCAGAGACTCTTACCTTGTTGTCTAGAGTAGCAATCTCCTGCTGGCTGGCAGTGGACAACAGAAAAGAATTCATCTGGGTCTTCAAGGTGTCATCCACTTCCACATCAATATCATAACAAGCTGTTTTTTTCTGGTCATTTGGGTCAACACTGGGGAGGAAACCAAAGGGATTCTAGTAAAGGGCTTTTCCTGGGACCTAATTGCATCAGGTCAAAAACATGGCCCAGGATAGGCCTGGTGGTGCACACCTTTAATCCCAGCACTCTGAGTCCCAGCACTCCGGAGGCAGAGGCAGGAGGATCTCTGAGATGGAGGTCAGTCTGGTCTACACAGTGAGTTCCAGGCCAGCTGGGGATATAGGGAGATCCTGTCTCAAAACAAAACAACAAAACATGGCCTAGGGTTGGAGGGAAAGGGAAGTGATTGCATAAGGATCTAACAATTTTGGGGCAACAGAATACTCTGTCTTCATTCTGAGAGTTATGTGACATATGTATCTTCAAAAGTCTTCAATCTGTACCAAAAGTCGCTACTTTAAATACATACAATTTAGGCTGGAGAGATGGGTCAGCAGTTCAGGGAACATACTGGTCTTCCAGAGGATTCGAGTTCAATTCTCAGCACCCACAACAGGAGGCTCATAACCACCTATGACTCCAGCTTTGGGGGACCTGATTTCCTTTTCTGGCCTCTGTGAGCACCAACACATACATATGCAGGCATAAACCTCCACGCACACACCTTAAAAAATAATTTTTTTAAAACATAGGTGTAATTTATTTATTTATTTTTTTTGAGAGAGAGGTTTTCCCTCTAGCCCCAACTGGCCTGGAACTTGCTATGTAGACCAGGCTGGCCTTGAACTCACAGAGATCTGCCTGCCTCTGTCTCCTACAGTGTTGGGACTAAAGGCGTGTGCCACCACACCCAGCTCATGGGTGTAATTTATGATATACAAATTCTACTTCGCTAAGTTTGGTTTTTATTAAATTTACTCATTTTATTTTGTGTGTGAGCAGCCCATGGAAATCAGAGAACAATTTGTGGGAGTTGGTTTTCTCTTTCCAATTTGGGGGTTCCAGAGATTGACCTCAGGCTGTCAGGCTGGGCAGTAAGCACCTTTATCAGATGAGTCATCTCACTGGCCCACATTTGGTTTTTAGAAAGTCAAAGGTACAATTCAAATAATACAAAAAGTATCCAGCAAAAAGTTTCTTAGGCATGGTGGCACATGCCTTCAGTTGCAGCACTCAGAGGAGGCAGAGACAGGAGGATCTCTGTGAGATCAAGGCCAGCCTGGTCTACACAGCAAGTGACAGGTCAGCTGGGCCTACAGAGACCCTGTCTTGAAAAGATCAAAGGAAAAAAAGAAAAGTTTCTCTTCCACTGGCCTGCTCACGGAGACCCACCTGCTTCTGCCTCCCAAATGTGGAGATTAAAATCATACATCACCACTCCTGGCCTTCTTTCTCCTTTTTAAAACTAAAATTAACCCATAAAATAAAGCCAAATAATACACACAC